AGCAGTCATTTGTGTGCAGCACTCCTTTGTGATATTAGAGCAGAATATGTATTTTTACATTGGTAATTTTCTACACTGGATTACAGAACTGTCACAGTGTAGAAAGACATTTATCCCATTGTGTTTGCACTGGCTCGCTGCATCTTGGCTTTGGAAAATTCTCCTACCTTTTGAACTACTTAGAGCATAGTGAATCTGTGGAATTCTTTACCACAGAAGGCTATCAAGGCCAGACTGTTAAATATGTGCAAGGCCTAGATAGACAGATGTTTAATCGTAAGGGAAAAGTGGAGTTGAGGATTATCGAATCAGCCCTGATCTCTTCGAATGTTGAGCAAACTTGATGGGCTGAATGGTCTACTTGGTCTACTTTTGCTCCTATATCCTGTGATATTATGGTTACTTGCTATGTGACTAAGTTCTTTCTCACTTTGCATTTGTTGCTTTTGCAAAACATTTTAAATCTATGCTATCTGGTTTGTGATCCTCTTCCAAGTGGGAACGGTTTTTCCGTATCTACTTTGTTCAGACTCCTCATGATTTTGAAAATTTCCATCAGATCTCCTTTCAGCATTCTCCTTGCCAAGGAAAATAGGCCCAACAACTTCAATCAGTCTTCATAACTGAAGTTATGCAACACTAGACCATTCTCATAAACAACTTCTGTACTCTCTCCCAAAGACTTCACATCCTTGCTAAATTGTTATTCCCAGAGCTGAACACAATACTCACAGCTGTGATGTCACTAGTGTCCCATATAACCTCCTTACTCTGTGCCACTATTAATGAAGACTAGAATACTGGATGCGTTATAACTACTTGCTCCACCTGCCCTGCCAATCTCAGCTGATCAGGTGGTACCTTGGAGCAGGAAACAAATAATGTTTCAGGTTGATCACCTTTCATCAGAATCCTTATTTTTCTTTTACTGCAGATGCTATCTGACATGGCGATTAAATCCAGCATTTATTTTGTATGGCTTCAAGCTTGTATTTTTCAGCAGTTTTCTTCTTTTAAATGACGTATTTATGTTTAAACCAGAGCAGTTCATTCACTCTAAGAAGCTGGAGATCTGAAATGGAAACAGAAAATGCTGGAGAAACTCAGCAGGTCTGGCAGCATCTGTGGAAAGAGTAACAGAGTTAAAGTTTTGAGACCAAAATGACTCCTCTCCAGAACTCAATTTTGAGCAAGAGTGTATGAGATTTGAAGCATTAAGGCTGTTTCTTTCTCCATTGATTCTGTCAGACATGCTGAGTTTCTCCAGCGCTTTTATATTTTGATCAATTCATTTTGTTGGCCTTTGCTTACAGGGCAGGAATTGCTTGCTTGGGGGCCTTGTATGAACAGCTGGGAAGAATGTTGGGGAATACATACATGGATACTGTAGGAAATTTGCTGAAAGCTATGAAAAGTGCTGAGGTAAGTCAAGGCTTCCTATCAGAATCTTGCCAGTCCAAAGAATCTATTTCAAAGTAAATGTGGGTAGTGCTAAGTTAATAGAAATAATATCACGTGTTTTGATATGTGGCCAGTTGAACAGATAATTGAGCATCAGATATTTATTGCTGTGCTGAATACTCTTGGAGAATGTTAAATCTCAGTACAAATTGGCAACCTTGCTGTTTAGTAGCTGTTGAATCTGTGTAATAGTATCTTACTGACATGAAAAAATCTTTAATGTCTATCTCTGGCATAATTTGTCACCTAGTCCCAAGGGCGCTATGAGATTATGCTGAGTTTGCAGAAGATTCTGTCTGGACAAGGAGCCACTGCTGCATCATGTCACAGAGATATCTACAAAGCTGCTCGCTCATGCTTGACTGATCGATCAATGGCTGTTCGCTGTGCTGCAGCAAAGGTATACATTTCTGAAATTTTAGAATTACTTTCAGCCAACTTAAGGTCATCATATGGCTAGTTAATACACTATTAGTCTTGTTTGATTTCCTTTTATTAGTTTTTCTGTCCTATACTGTATGTATCATAAGAATTCTTCTGAGCAACAGCGCAGAATTCAGTGTTTCTACTTGCCAAAAACTAAGGAAATTCAAGGTTTCATCATAATCATTTAATCCAATTTCATCTTAATCATAAAGATTTAATAAAATGACAGCATATCCCAAAGTACAGTTATTCCACATGTTGAAACAGGCCATGGTCTGAAGCAGAATCATTAGGAAGTCATCCAGGATGAAGAAATACAGATCTGAAGAAATGATCAAATAACAGAACTAATATGTTGTTTAAAGTAGTGGAAGGATCAGACATGGTTACTTCAAAATAACTGCCCTCATAGTTGAGGGATCACAAACGAATGATCATAGAAGCAAAAGATAAAATATAAGGGATTCCGAACAGATTATAAGAGTCTTAATTATGCATGAGGCTGTGGAATTCACTTCTAGAACTTTTGTTTGAAATTAAGATAGGTGTTTTGTGGATATGGGAAAAAGGATTAGCGCTATTTACAACAACAAAAACATTGCTGGAAAAACTCAGTAGGTCTGGCAGCATCTGTGGAGAGAAAGAAGAGTTATCATTTTGAGTCCAGTGACCCTTCTTCAGAACTGATTGTAACTGGGAAAAGATTGGTATATCTGATGAAGATGAGGTTAGGAGGAGGTGGGGGGGAAGGAGTAAGTGATAGGTGGAGATGGAGCCCAGAGACAGAGAAAAAAACAGTTGGGCAGACAGAGGAATGGGTAAAGGAGAGCCTTGGAGAATCAATGACCCCTAATGCAGACTGGTAGTAACTGTCAATGGGTTGGTTTTGGTGGTACACGTGATGAATAGGCCTGTGTGTGGTGGTTGGGGTCAGGACATAGGTGAAGGTACTGAGGCCTTAAAATTATTGAACTTGATATTCAATCCTGAAGGCTGCAGAGTCCCCAAGTGGAAAATGAGATGCTGTTCTTCCAGGGAGCGCTGAGCTTTGCTGGAGCACTGCAGAAGCCTGAGACAGAAATGTTGGCCAGGGAAACAAGTGGCACATTGAAGTGGCAGACCACATGAAGCTCAGGATCATTTTTGTGTACAGAATGTCCGTCTTCACCAGCAAAGCAGTTGGCCAGTATGCGTTTCGTTTCCCGATTGTTGAGCAGGCCACATTGTGAGCAGCAAATACAGTAGACTACATTGAGTGAAATGCAGGTAAACAGTTGCTTCAGGTAGCTGGGGCCTTGGATAGTAAGGAGTGAGGAAGTAAACAGGCAGGTGGTACACCTCTTGATTTCATGAGAAGGTGCCATGTGGGTGTGGGGAGTTTGTGGGAGTGGCGCAAGAGTGGACCAAGGTATCTCAGAGGCAATGATCCCTGTGGAAGGCTGAAAAGGGGAAGGGGAATACTTGTCTGGTGACATCCTGCTGGAAGTGGTGGAAATGGCTGCCTTTGGATGTGGATGCTGGTGGGGTGGTAAGTTAGGACCGGGGTCCCTATTGCTGTTGTAGAAAGGAAGAGAAGGGGAGAGGGCCAAAGTACAGGAGATAGGTCAGTCACGGTTGAGGGCCCCGTCAACCACGGTGGTGGGGAATCTTCGTTTGAGGAAAGAAGGTAGACATTTCAGATGCCCCTGGCATAATTGAAACAGATGTGATGAAGAAACTGGGATAACTGGATAGAGTCTTTCCAAGAAACGTGGTGTGAGGATGGATTGTCGAGGTAACTATGAGAGTTGGTGAGTTTGTAGTGGATGTTGGTGGCCAGTTTAACCCCAGGTGAAGCCAGGTGGAAATTGATAACTTTTCCAATTCCTGATGTGTCATCAATGTGCTAGAGAAAAAGCCCCCCTCCACCTCCCCCTCTCTCTCTCTTCCCCCTCTCTCTCTCTCTCTCTCTCTCTCTCTCTTTTTCTCTCTCTCTCTCTCTCTCTCACTGTGTGTCTGGCCCTCTCCCTTCTGCCCTCTGCCCTCCCTCAGCCCCCCTGCCTCGTGAAGTCTGGTGCAAAATATCTGATTTGCTGGCCATCTCTTAATTCATTTTCTGTCAGACCAGCATTTACTTTGTTATTTCTTTTTGAAATACCTGAAGAAACTTCTCCTATCTGTTTTACATTTTTGGCTAACTGTCTTTCATATCTATTGTGTGCTTTCTGGAATATCCCCTTAAATATTTACGACTGCTTCTCTCTTGATGTATCTCTTAATTTGAATGCCTAGCTAAAATTGAGGTCATGTATCTAGTACATTGTCAGAAATGGGAGTTTACCTTTAACGAAAGAATCTGAATGTGTTTCATTATTAATGGTTCATTCTATTTTCCTATCTTTTACCAAAGCACTGAAGAAAGGTGGGTGAAAGCTCGACAACTGACTACTGTTAAGGAGGCAGTACTCAGATAATTCAGAGACATGTTACATAAGTTTGTATGTTTCTAAATATCAGACTTTGCACAGATTAGCTCTAATCCTAAACTCACTGCCCCTTCCCCAATTAACACTTGCCAAAGCTTTTGGCCACTACTTACCTGCAGTAATTATAAATCACCCAGCTTTCTATTCTTTGAGCTTCCAGAAAGTGATGTATCAAATTCAGCAAGGAGCTGTCAGCTCTTCGTTATCTCGGTAGCAGCCCAGAACCATTTCTCAAAAAATGAATTTCTAAAAAACAACTTTTATTCCAGATCTGCCCTGATAGACTGATCAACTCCTCCTGAGGTCTCAGTTACCATTCAATAAATGCCATCCAGCTTGAAGATAGGATCTCTTTCAGACTTGCTGGGACCAACTCCCAGGTGCTGACCTCATTTAATAGCTAACTTCTGCTATCTGTTTAAACACCTTGCTGTTCCCCAGGGTCAGTACGTCTGTTGGAACCCTTTTAATCAAGGCTCAACCTGCAACTAGCATCTAGGCCTGGCTTCACAAACAAATGAAGCTTCTTCCTTTCCTTTTAACACAAGTTGTTCCAAAGTGCGCCAGCCGTTTCTAGCTCATAGTTCAAAATTGATAAAGGAATAAAGATAAAATCATGAAAAATCAGTGAAGGTTCTAGCACTCTCTCTCCCATTTAGACATACATTTTTTTTGTTACTGGTCTTGTGTTTCTATTGCTTTGAAAGTAAAATTCTTGAATAATAGTTATCTTTACAAAGCAAAGATGATCCACAATCTATCAATATGGTGAAGTTATGCATCTACACTGAATGGTTTGCCAGAATATTTGATCTGTGGAATTAGAGCATTATGTTTCACTCGTACTCTCTGGCTCCCAGTGTACTTAGTACCATGATTACTGCATTGTGAATTCTGGAAAATTGTAATATTTTTGCTCTTTTTAGTGTCTTTTGGAACTTCAAAATGAAGCTGTGTTTATGTGGACCACAGAACTGGAGAATGTTGCTACACTTTGCTTTAAAGCCTTCGAAGGTTCAAATTATGATGTGCGAGTATGGGTTTCAAAATTGCTGGGTACTGTTCTGGCTACAGCTGTGGTGCCTAAGCAGGGTCCCGGTAGGTGCTATATTGAACATTTGGAATTTTTTGTTGCAACTTTATTTGAACTAATTTGGCTTTTGAAATAAGATTTCAGTATTGAAATAATTGTCACAAAATAACAGATCTGGAGCTAGTTTCCTAATGGCTGCATATGATCAAGTTGATAATTCTTCCAGTTGTTTCAACGTAATTGTAGTGAAGGTGCAGAACTCCTATCCTTTTAACTTGAAGGATATTCAAGATCCTTTTTTAAAAGAAGATTGGATAATATAAGTGTCTAACTTGAGTCACCCATTACATCCTTCTGTCTGCTGTGATCTTTTTAAGCAAGCTATGCTTAATTAAGCAGGTGTTTAACTTAAAATGAAGCCTTACATTCTGAAGAAATATTCAAAATGTCAAACAGCTGAAATCGTATTTGTCTTAACCAGTACTTCTGAATGGTGCACCTCATGCTCATAACGTATCCTGGGCCACCTTGGAACTTCTGTCAGTACAGTTCTATAACTGTTGTCTTCCACCCAAGTAACATTGACTTCCTTTGCCACAAGCGTAGCCATCCATTCCTTTGCTATCACTAAGTATGGCAATTTCAGTGCCTGCCGAGCCCGTAAAGTTTTGCTGATGTCATGTTCTACACTAAGTTCAATTTTATCAACACTGTTAATCTCACTGACTTATCTGTCATATACTGCCTTAGTTTTTAAAATGATCATTTTTGTGTTTAAAATACTTGAAGATCTTGTTAAGCTCTGTTTCTGCAAATTTCCTCAGCTTGATAACCTTTCCAGAGCTCTCCATACCTCAAACAGTAATCTGTTGGATGACTTCATCCCTTCATTGCTATCCATGCCATCAGCTCATAGGCCCCATTATCTGGAATTTCTTCCCCAAAATTCTCCTCCATCCTTTCCTTTCAATAGGAATCACAAAAATCCCTTGAGGAAAAGTTTTGTCAACCACTCCTCCTATAACCACTTAATGCTGCTTTCTTTGGTTTTGCATTCATTTCTAAGTTAGTATGCTTTTATATAAATACTTGGAAAAAAATTTCTGTGTTAAGCAGACCATAGTAAAAAAGATATCCACTTGTTCCCTCCTGGAGAGCATATAGTCTGGACTTGATTGTGTCCAATAACTTTGATTGGGTATTTAAGCCCTGGAAAGTTGTATATGGCTCTTGATTGCTTTTCTCATGTGTGCAACTTATTTCATCCACTTCGTGTGAATTTACAAGTTATATAGGGCTCTTGTGGTACCGCAGTTGTATCTGTACCTCTGAGCCAGTATACCCAGGTTCAAGTCCCACCTCCAGAGGTCAGAATAACATCTCTAAACAGGTTACTCAGTAAATATCATGAATTTAAAAATTAAGCAAAGACAGATTTGGGCCTTAGTTTGGCATTTGATTAACCATGCTGCTCAATTTTTTTGGTGACTTGTGCTTTGGAAAGCACATGTTTTAGTTTTGTGTGATGTCTCTTCAAGACCTATATGGTTGCTATGTCTCTGGAAAGAGTGTAATTAATTTTTTTGATAGTATTCATCATTAAATTCCAAGAAATGCCCACGTGTTCTCGGTTTGTGATAGGCGTGAACAACTAAGAAACAAAGAGTAAATCAAAAGCTAATTGCATTGACAGGATGGGTTCCAGTCTGTGTTTCATGTTTAGAAGCTGGTAATTTATGTAAAGAGGAAACTTAGTCTCCTCTTTAAATGGTCAGTTTTCAGTTTGACAGTTTTTATTTAAACCGGATCCTGACATTGAAGTAGGGCTCTGAGAATAGAATGGAGACTGTGTTACAGAATGTATTGTACAGTTGGTTGGGACAAACACTGAAGATTGGATGGGTGTGGTATTGTTGATTTGGTAAGGCACTGTGTCAGTGTTACCAGAGCCCATAAGACTGTTTGAAGGAGTTAGAGAAGGAAGAGAATCTCTGAAGATTTTATGCCATGGGGACTGTTGTGACCGAAGTGAGAGAGGGTTTGTGACTTGCGCATTATCAGTAATGAGGGTGACCAGGGACTTTAGTTGGTATATGGCTGCTGGTGAATGTGACAAAGACTGAAACAATTAGAAGGAAGACGAGAAATCCTTCAAAATATGTCAAGCTATGGAATCTGAGAGATGGCATGTGGTATAACATTTGTGCGCAAAGTCGTGGAAATTCTTATTACTACTTGAAATATAGTCCTTTTGAAGTGAAATTTATCTTTTTATTCAAAATGCCCTTCACGTGTTAATGTTTTAGTTCTGTTGATTTTAGTTGATTTGTTACAATAACATGTTTAAAAAGTGAAATATTGTCCTTTTGCTTTCTTTCCATTGACCTCATCGGGATGCATTTTATTCTAACAAAAAAAAATTGTCAGTATCTGGAGGGTTTGTAACACGTAAAACTAGGCTTTGAATTCTATTGTTGTATTAACCAGCATATTTGGATTGAAACTGTGCACTGTTTTCCTCCGTTTTAATATCATTGTCTACTATTGGGAGGATTAAATCTAATTGATAAGCTAGAAAATATATTGGAAGTACTTCTGCTGTGTACTGCTGTAGTCTTTGGGTTTAGTGCTTAAAAGTTAACGTTAGTTGTTCTTTTTTCTCTCAGGTGTGAGGCTAGTTGTTCGTAAAACCATGCTGGCGGAAGCAATGGACTTGCTAGCTTCTGGCTTCTCGCGAGGCGGCAGCGGGTTCTTGCGTGTCAGTGGAGAAATGCTAAAAGGAGGAAGCTCTGTGAACCGGGATATTCGGATTGGAGTAACTCAGGTTCGAAATTACATTTTGAATTTTGCCTTTTGAGATACCATGTGTGGAGTCTCTTTTAACTACCTTTTTGTTTATTGAAGAATCAAAAAGTATTGAAGTATATAAATATATAAAAGGATATAAGTATTATGTAAGAAAAATCTCTGGAAAATGTTAAACTATTTGATAGTTTGCTTTTTGAAATGCTACTTTCTCAAGCTTGGAATGCTCTCTTTGCTTCTTGCTTGTGACCATCCTCCTTATTTTAAAGGGGAATGATCACTTACTGTGTAGTGTACTATGAACCAGTAATACACTTGACAACTATTAATCCCACAGAAGCTGTTAATCACTAAGGTTGAAGGAAGTCTGGATTATGATGTTTGACCTGTAAGTCATTGTTACTTTTTGACTAATTGACATCTTCCTGAGCTCTCCAGCATCACAGATTTCAGCCCATTTGATTTACTCAACATGATATCAAGAAATGGCTAAGTGCCCTGTGTACACTGCAGGCCTTGATGTTACACCAGCTACAGTGCTGCGGACGTCTGCATCTTCTGTGCTGTGTGATTCCAGTGCTAGCCAGACCCCTAGTCAAGCTGTTCAAGTACAGCTACCACATTGACATCTACCTGGCAATTTAGAAAATTGCCCAGTTATGTTCTGTCCACAAAAATGAAATCAGCATGAACCCAATACAGCCAGTTCCTTCCCCATCAATCCATTCTCAATCATGACCAGAATGAAGATGATGTTATCAACAGAGCTGTCAAGAGACACTTAAATAGCAATAACCTGCTCGCTGAAGCTGAGTTCGGATTCCACCAGGACCGATCACCTCCAGACTTCATTGTAGCTTTTGCCTTAATATGAGCAAGAATTGAATTACAGAAGTGAAGTGAAAAGCAATTCCTCCTGACATTGAGGATGCATTTGATCAAGTCTGGCACCAAAAAGCCCAAACAAAATTCAAGTCAATGGGAATTGAAGGGAAACTCTCCACTAGTTGCAGTCATACGGAGAAGGTGGTTAAGAGTTTGAGGCTATTCATTTCAGTGTGAAAGCATCATTGCAGTGTTGCTCACGGTAGTGCTCTTGGCCCAGAATTTTTAATGCATTATTGTGACCTTACCTCCATTGTAAAGGTCAAAAGTGGGCAGGTTTGCTGATGAATGCAGTTTTCTGTCCCATTGGTAACTCCTCAGTCCATACCTCCATGTGGTATGCTTTGGACAACATTTAGGCTTGGACTGATGACTGACAAGTAGCATGCATGCCACAGAAGTGCCAGGCAATGAGCTATCATCAATAACAAATAATCTAATCCTCTCCCTAGCATCTCAGTGAAATTAAAAATGCTGAATTCATCTTCATCACCAACTTTGTGGTTACCATTTACCAGAAACTTAGGGAGACGAGCCTAATGAATTCTGTGGTGATGAACAGTTCAGATACTGAGAATTTTACAGTGATTGCCCTTTTCTTGCTGATTCCCCAAAATCTATCCAGTATCAACAAGGCACAAGTTAGGAGTGTGATGAAATACATTGCACTCATCGAGCTCGAAACTATCCAAACAACATACTACTTGATTAACACCACCTCCAGGACTGGCACAGTTACAGCAGTATACTGTCTACAAGATGCACTGTAACAAGGTTCAATAGCATCTTCAAACCAGTGACCTCATCACCTGGAAGAACAATGGCAACAGTTACATGGGAGTACCAACATCTGCAAATTGATCTCCATGTTTTTCACCATTCCAAATGAAAACTTATCACCATTCCTTCACTGTTGCTGGGTTAAAGTTCTGGAATTGAGTCTCGAACAACATTCTGTGTATATTTGTAGCACGTGAACTTCAGTTCAAAATAGTGGCTGACCATTTTGAGGACAACAGGGGATTTGTAATAAATGTTGGCCTTGCCGGTGATCTCTGTGTACCTTCGTTATGATCCCCATAGGGAAAAGCTTTTTTCCAAAAAAAACCTCAGTTTATCAAACAATTGTCGAAGGAAGACATAACTGAAAGAAGTCACTTGCTATAATTTTTACTTCAGTACTCGTCAGAAGTAATTTACATGATATAAATTAACAATCAAATTATGATTGGAATGAATTAAAAACTATACATGAAACAGCCAATACCAGAAAGTCTATCTTAGCCTGTGTGGCCAATGTTTTCAGCCTCAAAGCTCTTTAAAGCACAGATCTTCCCAGGGCAGAATTTCGGTGTTTATTTCAAGGAAGTAGCCCGATTTTCATGTAAACTGATTCTACCACACAAACCTCCACAAAATACTTCTTTCTTAAAACCTTCTCAACTATTGGATCCTGTCAGTTGTGGTATTGTAGGTCAACCACCTTCATCTTCACATGGGATGGCTGATTCTGGACATTCAGTTCCTCAAAAGTGATAGAAACAGTCGCAACAGACAAAATGTGCTTTCTGACTGCTCAGGAATCCAGCTATATGAGTCTACTTGCTGCCCACCTTCACTCTGTTCAGATGTTCTGATTTGTCTTTGTTACCTCTACCACAAGGCTTCTGTATTTTAATTTCCTTCCTTTCAGTATTTCTTCCACATCAATTGTTGAGGTTGTACGGACCAGTATTTATTATTATCCAAAAATTATACTTTATTCCTTTACAAGTGATACAAATCTTTACAGGTTCTTTTCAAACACTTGCAAATTCCCCAGACATTTTGAAGTAATTACACTTTTCCCTATGGTTACCACTTATCATGTACAAATGACACAAAGATGAGCTACAGATTACTTACTTTAGTATTGTGCAGTTTCCATTGATTTTGAACTTAATCGCTAAATGTGTGATGGAAAGGGATAATTAACTGAATAATGCAATGTTATTCAAATGGATTTTGTTAAGTCTTGAGATTCGAAGCAATCACAGTTTTCACTGATTTCACTTTTTTTCTAGGCTTATGTTGCTTTTATTTCTACACTTGGTGGTCAGTGGTTGGAACTGAATTTTGCTGCCTTACTTGAACATATTTTGGAGTTGATGTCTCACCCAAAAGCTACACAAACTCAGATTGATGCCATATGTTGTCGCCGTTGTGTTTCATTTATCCTTCGAACCACGGTAGGAAGTCTGCTTGGAGAGAAAGCTCAGATTGCAGCAGCAAAAGAGATCTGCCAGGTTGTGGGTAAACAGAATAAAGCTGTAGGTAAGAAACTAGAACCAATCTCGGATAATCTTCATGCCAGGCAAGGAAAGCTTTATGTTGAAATCCAGTTTTTAACATGGGCTCCACAGCTAGATCTTTACATCTTTGCACGTTGAATCTGATAAGTTTATTACAGTTTCTATGATTGTTATTCCAGCCCTACATAGCGGCTACCTGTCAATTAATGTGATTTGTGCTTCATATGTTGTTCTTGATAATATATGGCAAATTAAACCTTATAAGAAAGGATCCCATCTTACGATTAATATTTTTACATTATGCACCATTGGATTCTTCCAGGAATGTAGCTTGTTAAATTCAGAAGTAGTATGCATTAAGAATTTGTTTTAATCCCAGTTGATGGTAACACTGGATAAATCAGATTCCAGAGTCAGACCTGGTTTAAAAGATCAAAAGTTTTATTTTTGCACTTTGGTTACAGTGGTGGCCTGTCACTAAACATATTCACACAAAACTGTCAATTTACTCTTAACAAAAGCAAGTAAGTCTAGTTACGCAGAAGAATAGTGAAAAGAGTACAAAGCTATGTACATAATTTGGAACAGTCTGACAAACAGCATTAGGAAAGAATCACCACTTTTCTCCAGCAATATGCTTTACAAACATTTAACCTCAGTGAATTATCACTCCTGGCTTTGCTTGAAAATTTCAAACTCAATTGATGAATTCACAAGCATTTCCTTTTGGTGAGTTTCTGCATACTTACCAGTTGTCACTCTCTCTTTTACTGTCTATCCCAGAGGCAGAGAGACACAGGCCAACTCATTGACATTTATCGGATCAGCGAAGAAATACCAAAGCTTTGACTACTTTGTCTTTTGAACAGCACATGTATTGGTATGGATCTTCTGAACTGAACCTGGTTCTGGCCTCTGAACTCTCTTTATCTTTCTCCTAGGTTGTAAAGCTCAACTTAGTGTAACAATCGAGCAATAATCTCAGCTCGAAGCTTCTCTAGTCATTTTGCTCGTGTTTTGTGTGCTCTTATCCTTTGCTTTATATTTACCTTAATTGTTAGATGCTGCAATGAGTGACACCAATATGGAGACAAAGTTGGATGCAATGGATGTGTCTGCCAGCCAACATGTGCTCGTCTGTACCCTACAAGAATTGGGCAGTCTAGTGCAAGGCCTTGGTTCTACTGCTGCCCCATTACTTCAGGATTCCACAATAGGTAATGCGATAAGACCTTCAGTACGAGATTTTGTATGTGGTAATGGTTCTGATAGTTGCCTTAAGCTCCACCCGCTCTGATGCTATATAGTTTTTCGGCAACAAATCGGGTAGTTCTAGCATAAAAATCTCAATTGGGACAGACGTGTCATCCCTGGCTCCTGATAGTTGTAATTGTACCTAACAACTGAATGTTAATTGTACCTTTTGCTATTATGCAATAAACTAGACCGTGTCACATTGGGCAAGTGCCTTAATTTGTTAAGACTCATTTGTGGTTTATCCTGTAATACTGATAATTAGACATGCCCTTAGGCTGAACATGGAAAGCAGGATCCATGGCAGTGAAATACCCCAACCACAAGCTGTTGTAGTTGACACCAAATGACCAATGTGATGTGGAAATGCATAGCTGCCTTCTGATCTGTGAGCGTGTATGTCAAATTCCGAATGTCTCATCTGGAGTTGCTGTTCTCCAATTTGTCCATCTGAATATTAATGTGTCTGCAGTGTTGTAATTTTTACATTAGAGAATGTGAAAATATGTTTGAATGAGTTCATGCACAATTTTTCCTCTCATTAAATGGAAATCTTTTACTTTGCTGATTTACCAGGATGTTGACTGGAATGGAGGGAAGGTCTTACGAGGAGAGGTTGAGAGCACTAGGGCTTTTCTCTTGAGAACGATAAAGGATGAGAGGTGACTTGATAGAGGTGTACAAAGTGATCACAGGTATAGATAGAGTGGATAGTCAGAGACTTTTTCCTAGGGTGGAGGCAGCTATTACGAGGGGCCATAGTTTTAAAGTGAGTGGAGGTAGATATAGGGGAGACATCAGAGGTAGGTTCTTTACTCGGAGAGTGGTAGGGACGTGGAATGCATTGCCAGAGAGGGTAGTGGAGTCGGCCTCATTAGGGGCATTTAAGCGGCTATTAGATAGGCATATGGATGATAGTATAAGGTAGGGGTGGAGGTTAGATAGACCTTCGGCTTAGGGTAAAAGTTTGGCACAACATCATGGGCCGAAGAACTGTACAGCATAGTACAGGCCCTATGTTCTATGTTCTATCCAAAATGTTGCTTGCGGTTACTGGTAGGATTACGTTTTAATCACTCAACCCATGAAAGATTCCATGACTCATATTATGGATTCTATCCTAAGGAACTGCAAGACCTAGACGTACATATGAGATTTCCTGAGTAAGAGCAGTAGAGTAATCTGTCAAAAAGCTATCTTGTATCAGATTTAATAATTTGGATTTTATCACCCTTGTGTGAGGCAATCTGTAATGAGAGGTCATAGTTTTAGGATTTAAAACAGATAAGGAGACATCACTTCTCTCAATGGGTCTCCTGAATCCATTGGCAGGTCATTAGAAGGTACCACCCAAGAGGTCTGAGTACCAGCATATGCTTAAAATGCACATCTGCCATTAAATTTTCAATTCCTCTAGAGATATTTTGCAGTCCAGAAAATATATCAAAATGATTGTTTAAATTTTGGGGTCTGCAGTAATGGCACTTTCTCTTGGCCTTGAAAGGAAAAACAGTGAACTCTCAGGATTGCTTCTTGCATTTCCTGTTGTTAGTTTGATTCTGAAGCCAAGTTAAAGTGATCACCAGGTGTCCAGCAACAGTCGTGTTACTCAGTATCTTATCACATTGAAGAATGTTCACATGCAGCAGTTGAGAAATAAATGTGTTACGTGTTATATTGATGTATTGTTTACAGAGAGTGAAATTAAGATTGGGGACATGTCTAAGGCCCAAGTTATTAATGGAATAAATATTCCTCACTAACAACAGATGTTTGATCTGATTTGAAATTTGAAAATTTCTGAATATTAAATTTGCCTAGGGTCTAGGAGGTTGTCAGAAGCCATTGACTTTATTGCATTATTTTAAGAAAAAAGGCTTTGTTCAATAAGGCTTATTTTTTTAGAATTTTTTTGTACAGTAGTGTTAGAGTAAATTCAATTGATTTCCAAAAATGGTCATCTGGGACAACTTCAGTGGCACATTTTGAGGAGGATCAGTTAATCACTGAAAGCAATTTGTGGATTTCTGTGTTTAACTGCGCATGTGCAGATGCTAGAAATTGATGTCAATTTCTCAACTGTAATTAAGCTGAATGCTGAAAATGAGTCTATCATTACGACTGCAAAATCCAGGTCATTTCAACAAACTGCGATTGCATCTAAAATGATATTATTCGTGTCAGTACTGATTTGCATATGAATTATACGCTCAGTACACTCTCGCAATAAAAATCTTGCCCTGTGGAGTACTATATGAGGAGTGAAAGACAATTTCAAGGTTGGAATGCAACAGAGTAATTAACATCTATTTCTGGGAAATTTAGTGAATATTTAAAAACTCCGATCTTATTTAAAGTACAATTAGACTTTGGGGTGCATTGGTGAATCTCTATTTTTATGAAATGATGTACTCAACTGTCTGATCTTTCTCATGTCTGCTTGTTTTTATGTTAGCAGTAGGTGAGTCCTTTGTCAGTAAAAATATGGAACAACCGAACTAGCAGCCAGCCTGTAGGCTAAAGTTTTGAATGTTTTGGTAAAAAGCTGAATTTGATTTCTTTTTTAAAATGCAGGTCAAAACTCAAATTTTATACATCTCTTGTCAGGTGTGCTCGACAAAGTAATTTCAGTGCTACTACATCCCAGTGTTTCAGCTAGATTAGCTGCAGCTTGGTGTTTGCGTTGTTTCGCAGTGGCTTTGCCCTCCGAGGTTTCTCCTCTTCTGGATCGTTGCACTGAACGCCTGAGTGCTCTCAGATCTTCCCCTGAAGCGGTAACTGGTTACAGTTTTGCAATAGCAGCACTGCTAGGAGCAGTCCAGCAATGTCCGCTGGGTATCCCTCATGAGAAAGGGAAGGTAATGATTTTGCTAATGTTTATTTGGACAAAAAAATTTATGATGATTCAGAAGCAGAAGTAAATTGATTTTAAGCACTTGTGGAACACCCACGCTCGGTTCGCACCAAACAACTGCACCTCCCAGTCGCGAACCATTTCAACTCCCCGTCCCACTCCTTGGACATGTCCATCCTGGGCCTCCTGCAGTGCCACAACGATGCCACCCGCAGGTTGCAGGAACAGCATCTCCTATTTCACTTGGGAACCCTGCAGCCCAATGGTATCAATGTGGACTTTGCAAGCTTCAAAACCTCCCCCTCCCCCGACCACATCCCAGAACCAGCCCAGCTCATACCCGCCTCCCTAACCTGTCCTCCCACCTATCCTCCCACCTCAAGCCCCACCCCCATCTCCTCCCTACTAGCCCTCATTCCCCCTCCTTGACCTGTCCGTCCTCCCTGGACCGACCTATCCCCTCCCTAACTCCCCACCTACACTCACCTTTACTGGCTCCATGCCCGCCTCTTTGTCCTGTCTGTGTCCTCTCCACCTATCTTCTCCTTTATCCATCTTCTATCTGCCTCCCCCTCTCTCCCTATTTATTTCAGAATCCCCTTCCCCTCCCCCATTTCTGAAGAAGGGTCTAGACCCGAAACATCAGCTTTCCTGCTCCTCTGATGCTGCTTGGCCTGCTGTGTTCATCCAGCTCTACACCTTGTCTCAGATTCTCCAGTATCGGCAGTTCCTACTATCTCTGATTTTAAGCACTGCTGTTTTGTCATTGAACACCAAATTTTTAGACTTCTGTTTGTATGGCGCTGTTAAACAAGTTTTTGTTCATTAGCATTGGTTAATGTATATTCAAGACCCACTTTTAATTTGTTCCAGTTGATAATGACCCAAGCAGAGGACTTCTTACGTACTGCAATCCAAAATAGTCGCCTTTCAGTACACCGCACTCAGGCTGGTTGGCTTCTTTTTTCCGCACTTATGACACTAGGTAAGATGGTTAACGATAGTAGGCAAAATGAAATTTAAAATTCTACATTGAAAATGTCAGAGTTCTTAAAAGAGAAAGATGATGAATTATTAGTATTTGTTTGATTGTGACTGTTGGCACTTTGGCACTGTAGAGATTTTAGAGGATTCTTGACATTGTTAAAGAGATCTTGGTCTGAGAGGCCTCAACTGATAATTAAGAGTCTAGTCAAGATCCGTCACTTGTGTCATCAAAATAGTAAAAGATTTCGACATAACTGTCCTCTTAAATTAATGCTGCATCTCTAAACTTTCTTTTCTGACGTCATGTTATGAAGTTATTCTGTGCAGCAGTTTTCAAAATGTGACTTTTAAATACCTTCAATCCCATTTATTTCCTCCTCAAATAGCTTTGCTCAAAGTCATAAATGGCATTTTCTGCAAAGGTGACATTTGCTACAACAGAGCATGCCATCTTTCTTCTTGACTGCTCCTTCATTTTCCATTTCTGTAGAATTGTCTTTGTTTGCTTCTTGTCTGATCCACACATGGCTAATGAATTTCTAGTCGTGGCTTATTTTCCCATCTGTCCATTGCTACCTGTGAATCTGTCGCCACATCCCGTTTCTACATCATGGATGTCCTCTGTGGGCATGAAAAGACAGAGAAAAAAATAGAAAGGTATCCTGATGAGGTTAGCTGAAGAAGGTAGGAAGAGGTTTGTGTGGACTGTTAATGCTGACATGGATCTTTTGGAACAAATGGCTGTAATTATTTGTAATTCACAACTTCCACGTTTATGCTGATGAACTCTCCCTTCCTATCAACTGTTTCAATTCTATAAGCACTTCCTCTGTACCAGACTGTGTAACCTAACTTATAAAACATAGCTGCCATTATGCTATTCTTCACAAATCCTACATGCTCGTTATCTATGTTCTTGCAAACCTACATTAGTTCTATGGCCCACTGGACAGCAAATGTAAACTCATTCTAGTCACTTTATGGCCATTCCACAACCTCCTGCAGCTTGTACTTCCTTCTGTGCCTCTTGACTGTGGCCTTTTGTGTGTTTTAAGATTTTAAACTCAAATTTAATTTATGAAAAAAAAACATGCTTTGATGACATTTGCATTCAAATATGCTGTTTTATCTGACTTCCAACTGCACTGGATTAATATTTTGTCTCCCCAGCTACTCCTAAGGAATAAGATAAGCTGATCTGTGCAGAAACCTTCTGTCCTGCATCTAATCCATCCTCTGGCACTTGCCGAATGCCAGAAACTGGTCCTCTGTTCAGTTTGTTCGTATTGATGAAACATCACACATTTTCATTAGAACTTTTACACACAAAATAATGGAGGTACCTGAAGAAACAACTGCAGTTTGTTACATTGCTGTTGTTGCTTTTATGGTTCAGAAATGGCTACATTAAAAGAAAATCAGCACAGATACGGTTAGCTCATTGATTTCAAGAACCTAAAGAATGAAACATTGGATGATCAGAAGGCAGAGGAAGCAGATTGACATTGAAGAATTAACAGTTGCAGAGAGATTGATAAATATGCATATCAGGATAAAGTAGTGTATTATTGGCAGGCAGAGAATCAAAATAAAAGGCATAAAACCAGAGAAATGTTCTCGAAACACAGGGATTCATAAGAAGGAGAATAAAAAACCCTATCTGCATCCCTTTGTAGCTTCTGTGTGACTTTTCAACAATATACTTTCTTTCTTAACTTTCTGTTATCAATAAATTTTACACCTTCTGAATCAAGGCTTAATGTGCAATTAACCTCTAGACCTGGCCCCTCAAAAAAAAAGCTTGTTTGGTCAGTTCTTTCCTTTTACCACAAGCTGTCCCAAACTTGACAAGTCATTTCCAACTCAATTCAAAATTGATAAAAGAATAAAAATAGAAATAATGAAAAAGCAGCAAGGGTTCTAACACAAGACCAGAAATTATTTGAAGCTATATGATTCCCAAGAATTACTTTTTTAATTTCCAATTTTTCTTTCCATTGACCTTTCTATTTAAAAACCAGGCTTCTCCTCAAACCTTCTCACACAAATTCACAAAAAAAAGCAATATGAAGCATCTTGTTCATAACAATCAAAATTGCCCCACATTTGACATAAATTTCAACCATTGCTCCTACACCTCTGCATGTTCTTACTCCAGAAGGTTTAAAAAAACCATGAAAAGTCAGTTGTGCTTCTTCAGAAGGAGATAAGAACCTTCTTTCCAAACATGTTAGCACAGGAAAATTTTTGATAAATGCCTAATAGGTTGCTAATCTCCAGTGAACACCAAATGGATTTGTACCCACCTAGTAACTGCTTGCCATAAGGGAGGTCTGAGTGGAGAGCTTGTTTTGGCAGTTTGTTAGGCAAACGGACAATTTATATATGCTACTTCAAACGTTCATTAACGTAACTTCAACTTGAATAGTACAAGTGAACATTTTGCTCATAATGTAACTAGTCATCTTATTATGGAATGTAAGACAAATTTTAGCATTGCTTGAATGCATTTCATTTGTCAAACATATTACTTTATGTTTAGTCTTAACTATAATTTTCTTAATCTCAAGTGTTTGTAATGGGTGAACTATTTGCAAATTTTAGATTATTAACTTGCAATTTCAGGGCCAGCAGTCATACACCGTCATCTTCCAAGAATTCTCTTGCTTTGGAAAAGTGTATTCCCTCAATCCCCAAAGGACTTGGAAATGGAAAGAAATCGTGGGGATTGCTTCACATGGCAGGTGATGCTGGAAGAACGTGCAGGAGCTCTCTGTGGTAAGACATTTGGAACTTTTGGTGTTGTTGCAGGAAAATTATGTAACACTTTTTATACAACCTGATCCTGTTGAGCATGCCACAGACTCTCGTGCAGTTCTTTCACTTTCCAGTTAATTCTGTCCTGAAACTAGGTGGGCTCAGTGGGATCCTGTATAACTGCTGATGTAAAGTGAGCAGTTGAGTAAAGAAATCTTAATTACAGCAAATTAGAATAGGTTAACATAAAATTAGCTAAAAATCAAAATTAAGCAGTAGAAGATGCTCAAATACACATGGTACAATGTAAAATTTATTAAATTATATCTTGCATTTTTTTTACTCATTATGTTGTTTAAATTGAGTGCATGTGGAGTTTTCTGTCTCCTTCTTTGGGAAAGGAAGAAACTGAAATAGTGATAATGGCAAATTATCCCCTCTGGCTAAAAGGTTGATACTGTTGGAGCTTATTACCTTCGGAAGAAAGAACCACTTATGGTTTGAGGTTCTGGTTTGTTATAAGACAAGGCAATTGGGCGATTGTGCCTCATGTCTTTGGTTCTGGGATATGTTCTACTGAAACAAAACAAGAAGCTGTAAATTCCCACACTCTCAGTAGCTCAAAAGTATTAAGATTCACTTGACATTTCCAGAACCTTGATACAATTCTGTGCATGGATAGCACTTTGTTTTTTTTTCCTTGTTTTGTAAGTTTTTTACAGTTGTAATTTTACTCAACATTTTTGAGTAGAGTATGAAACAAATATTCTAATACTGGTAATTTTAGTTTTGTATTGATTTTGTTTCAGCAATGAAGTGCTTTATGTTGTATTGCAAAGATTTATTGACTGATGATGTAATTGAGAGACTCCTTCCACTCCTTACCTTCGCTGTAGCTTTATCAACAAAGTAAGTTGCCCAAACTAGTTACTTGAGATGTCTATCTTTTTCAGTATTGTGCATTCTTTTTGTTATAACAATTGCATTGGAATTTTTAACTGCATAGTTGCTGAAATTACGAAAAATATTTCATCAAGAGAATTCCTTCTGCAGAAAAAAAAGTTGACTTTCGCATTGTGTCTATGTTATACATATCGTTCATATAGTTTGAATTAACAATGTTTCTTGACACTGGCATAATTTGAGTTAATACTTCCACAGATGTTATCCCAAATCTGAGTGCATTGGCTACATTTACCATCAGCTGTACTGTTGATTTATTTTTGGATGTTTTGGTTTTTTTCTTTTAATTGACCTTGAATACTGAGGTTTTAGTCTTGAGTTTAGTGTTAAAAATGCTTGTAAATGAATTTTTAGGAATGAATAACAAAACAATTTCATGTCTTAATCTTCCTTCTGTAATAATTTGCTTTATGCCATGAGATGATAAGTACATATTTTTACAGACTGCCTGCACTTAACAAATCATATGGAACTCCTTTGAAGAGTGCTTCAGTTGTATTTAGACAACGGTTATATGAGGTTCTGGCTCTGCTGCCACCCAAGAACTGTGAAGGTGGGTCTGATAGAAGTTAATAATTTCAGTCTCTGTTATCTGATTCATACATATGATTGTCATTTAAGATGATCTTGTTGGATCAAATCTCTCTTTCTCCCCTCCGATGGAATTCGATTTTCTTTGTACTTTGAAAGAAAAATAGAAACTTCATCAGAATTGCGGAATGCGGCAATCCTTGGATATTATACAAACATCATGAATATAAGCAATTGAACATGATTGATAACAAACCCAGAGCCCAACAAGCAGCAAAATAACTCTTTAGTAAAGTAAATTAAATATTACAGTTACAAGTTAAAATTTGTAAAGTTCACTTAGCATTGTAAAATAAATAGCCATGAGGAAGACTATAACAATACCAAAGGAGAGTAAACATGATAAATCAGGAAATGGAAGTTTGTAAACTCGGAAGTCATTCCCCTTATCCCCCAAACTTCTCGCCAGTCTGGAATGCACTGCCAGGGGAGGTGGTAGAAGCAAATATGATGGCAACATTTAAGGGTCATTTAGACAGCCACATGAACAGGCAGGGAATGGAGGGATACGGACCATGTGCAGGCATATGGGATTTGTTTAGAATGGCATATTGATCGACATGGACATTGTGGGCTGAAGAACGTGTTCCTCTGCAGTACTGTTCTATGTTGTATGTTAAATAGGAACAGGAGTAGTTCCAAAACTCTCAACCCTCCGAGAAGAAATTCCTCCTCATTTCAGGCTTAATTTGGCACCTCTTTATTCTGAGACTGTGCCCTCTGGTCCTAGACTGTCCCGTGAATGGGAAAAGTCCTCTAAACATTTACCGTCTTAAGCCGCTTAAAGATCCTAAATGTTTCAATGAAATCACCCCTCAATCTTCTAAACTGTAGTGAATGGAGCCCTAACCTATTCAGCCTCTGTTCATAAGACAATCCCTCCATACAGGGGATCATCCTAGCGAGCCTGCTCTGAACTGCCTCCAATGAAATTGTATCTTTCCTTAGATAAGGAGACCAAAATGCTCATTGTACTCCTGATGTGATTTCACCAGTAACTTGTACAGTTGCAGTAAGACTTCTCTATTCTTAATCTCTAACCCCCTTGAAATGAGGGCCAAATTGCATTAGTGTTCCTGATTACCCACTGCACCTGTGTGCTAGCTTTCTGTGTTTTGTGCACAGTACCCCGTAAGTCCCTTTGTGTGATGGCTTTCTGCAGTTTTTTTTTTGATTTAAGTAATATTTTGTTCTTTTGTACTCCTTTCCAAAATGAATAACTTTCTATTTTCTCACAATACTTCATTTGCCAATTTTTGCCCACTTAACCAATCAATAGCTCTATATGTAAGATAACAAGATGTAGAGCTGGATGAATACAGCAGGCCAAGCAGCATCAGAAAAGCAGGAAAGCTGACGTTTTGGGCCTAGACCCTCCTTCAGAAATAGGGGAGGGGAAGGGGTTTCTGAAATAAATAGGGAGAGAGGGGGAGGCGGATGGAAGATGGATAAAGGAGAAGATAGGTGGAAAGGACACAGACAGGTCAAAGAGGTGGGCATGGAGCCAGTAAAGGTGAGTGTAGGTGGGGAGTTAGGGAGGGGATAGGTCAGTCCAGGGAGGACGGACAGGTCAAGGGGGTGGGATGAGGCTAGTAGGTAGGAGATGGGGGTGGGGTTTGAAGTGGGAGGAGGGGATAGGTTAGGGAGGCAGGGATAGGTTAGGGAGGCAGGGACAAGTTGGGCTGGTTTTGAGATGCGGTAGGGGGAGGGGAGATTTTGAAGCTTTTGAAGTCCACATTGATACCATTGGGCTGCAGGGTTCCCAAGCGGAATATAAGGTGCTGTTCCTGCAGCCTTCGGGTGGCATCATTGTGGCACTGCAGGAGGCCCAGGATGGACATGTCGTCTGAGGAATGGGAGGGGGAGTTGAAATGGTTCGCGACTGGGAGGTGCTTGTTGGGGCCACACTCATCCAGCCAAGTGGGGAATATTCTGTCACACTCATGACTTGCGCCTTGTCGATGCTGGACAGGCTTTTGGCTGTCAGGAGGTGAGTTACTTGCGGCAGTATTCCTAGCTTCTGACCTTTTCTTGTAGCCACTACATTTATGTGGTGAGTCCAATTAAGTTTCTGATCAATGATAACTCTCAGGATGTTGATAGTAGGGAATTCAGTGATGGTAACACTACTGAATGTCAAGGGGCGGTGGTTAGGTTGTCTCTTATTGATGATGGTCATAGCCTGGCATTTGTGTGCCGCGAATGTATTTGCCACTTGTCAGCCCATGCCTGTATATTGTCTATATCTTGTTACACTTGGACATGGACATGAACTACTTCAGTTTCTGAGGAGTCACGAATGGTGCTGAACATTGTGCAATCCTCGGCGAACATCCCTACATCTACCCTTATGATGAAGGGAATGTCATTGATAAAGCAGCTGAAGATGGTTGGGCCTGGGATACTACAGAGAGATGTCCTGGAGCTGAGATGACTGATCTCCAACAAGTACAGCCATCTTCCTATGTGTCAGCTATGACTTCAACCACCGGAGAGTTTGCCCCCTGATACCGATTGATTCCAGTTTTGCTAAGGCTCCTTGACGCCACACTCGGTTGAATGCAGCTTTGATGTCAAGGGCTATCACTCTCACCTCACCCCTGGAATTCAGCTGTTTTGTCCATGTTTGAACCAAGGCTGTGATGAGATTAGGACTTGAGTGGCCCTGGTGAATCCAAGCTGGGCGTCGCTGAGCAGGTCTACTTGATAGCACTGTTGATGACGCCTCTCAGCACTTTACTGATGATTGACAGTAGACTGATGGGGTGGTAATTGGGTTGGAGTTGTCCTGCTTTTTATGTATATGACATGCTTGAGCAATTTTTCACATTGTCAGGTAGATGCCAGTGTTGTGTCTGTACTGGAACAGCTTGGCTAGGGGAGCAGCAAGTTCTGGAACACAAGTCTTCAGTACTTTTGCCAGAACACTGTCAGGACCTGTAGCCTTTGCATTATCCAATGCCTCCAACTGGTTCTTGATATTATGTGGAATGAATTGAATTGGTTGAAGACTGGTATTTGTAATACTGGGGACCATTGGAGGAGGCTGAGATCGATCATCCACTCAGCACTTGTGGCTGAAGATTGCTGCGAATGCTTCAGCCTTATCTTTTGCACTAATGTGCTGGGCCCTTCCATCATTGAGGATAGGGATATTTGTGGAGCCTCCTACTCCAGTGAATTATTTAATTGTCCACCACCATTCATGACTGAATGTGGCAGGACTGCAGAGCTTGGGTCGTTGGTTGTGGGATAGCTTCGCTTGTCTATCACTTGCTGCTGTGCTGTTTGGCATGCAAATAGTCCTGTTTGGTGGCTTCACCAGGTTGACACCTCATCTTCATGTAAGCTTGGTACCGCTACTGGCATGCCCTCCTGCACTCTCCATTGAACCAATGTTGATCCACTGGCTTGATGGTAAAGGTTGAGTGGGGGATATGCCATGAGGTTACAGATTGTGCTGGAGGACAGTTCTGCTGTTGATAGCCCACAGTGCCTCGTGGATACCTAACCTTGAGTTGCTAGATCCATTCGAAGTCTGTCCTATTCAGCACGGTGATAGGACCACATAACACGATGGAGCTTATTCTCAATGTGAAGGCAAGACTTCATCTCCACAAGGACTGTGCAGTGGTGGCTCTTACTGATACTGTCATGGACAGATGCATCTACAGGTGGCAGATTGTAAGGATGAGGTCAAGTATATTTTTCCATCTTGTTGGTTCCCTCACTAGCTGCTGCAGACCAAGTCTAGCAGCTATGTCCTTCAGGACCTGACCAGCTCAATCAGTAGTACTGCTGCCGAGCCACTCTTGGTGGACATTGAAATCTCCCACCCAGAGTACGTTTTGTGCTCTTGCCATCCCCATTGCTTCCTCCACCTGATGTTAAACATACAGGAGTACCAATTAGTCGGCCAAGGGAGGACGGTCTGTGGTAATCGGCAGAAAGTTTCCTTGCCCATGTTTAACTTAAGTCATGAGACTTACGGGATCCAGACTTAATGTTGATGACTTCCAGAGCAACTCCCTCCCGACTGTATACCACTGTGCTTCCATCTCTGCTGGGTCTATCCTGCCGTTGAGACAGGACGTACCCGGGGATGATGATGGTGTCTCGGACATTGTGTGTAAGGTATGATTCTGTGAGTATAACTGTGTCAGGCTGTTGTTTAACTAGTCTCTGAGACAGCTCTCCCAATTTTGGCACGAGCCCACAGATGTTAGTGGGGAGGACTTTGCAGGGCCAAGAGGGCAGTTTCTGCAGTTGTCTTTTGCAGTGCGTTGGTTGATGCCAGTTATCCATAGAATCCACAGTGTGGAAATGGGTCATTTGGCCCAACAAGTCTACACCGACTCTCTGAAGAGCATCCCACCCAGACTCTCTTCCCCCACCCTATCCCTGTGACCCTGCATTTCCCATGGCTAATCCACCTTACCTGCACATCTTCGGACTGTGGGAGGAAACCGGAGCACCTGGAGGAAACGCATGCAAACTCCACGCACAGTCACCTGAGGCTGGAATTGAACCTGGGCCACTGGCACTGTGGGCCACAGTGCTAACCACTGAGCCACCATGCCGCCCGGTTTAATTTCTTTGAGACTTTGTAGCGACTGGTGCAGATAAATGGCTTTCTGGGCCATTTCGGAGGGCAGTTGAGAGTCAACCACATTGCTGTGGGTTTGGAGTCGCACGTAGGCCAGACCAGGTGAGGATGCAGATTTTATTCCCTGAAGGACATTAGTGAAGCAGATGGGTTTTTCCAACAATCGACAATGATTTCATGGTCATCAGTAGATTCCTAATGCCAGATTTTATGGGTTTTTTTAAAATTCAATTTCACCATCTGCCGTGGCAGGATTTTGTGAGACCAAGAAGCTTTCAACTTAACCAGTCAGCTGCAAAATGCAGTTTATTGAAATAATTTTGTGGCCCAGTGATGAATGATGCAGTTTCTGAGGCATCATTTGAATATTGCACTGGCTGTAACTGGTAGAATACTGCAAGAGTTAGATTTTCAGCCCTAGCTGTTCACACTTCATATCACTGGATGTGGGGACCAATTATACTATTTCCAGGTTTGCGAACAATACAAAACTCTGTGGGAATGTGTGTTTATGAGGATAATGCAAAGAAGTGGCTCAGTGGCTAGAACTGCTGCCTCACAGCGCCAGGGATGCCAGCCTCGTGTGTCTGTGTGGATTTTGCACATTCTCCCTGTGTCTGCATGGGTTTCCTCCAGGTGCTCCGGATTCCTCCCACAGCCCAGGTTAGATGGATTCGCTGTGCTAAATTGTCCAGTGTCTAGGTTGGGAAATGCAGGGATAGGATAGGATAGGGAATGGGTCTAGTTGGGATGCTCTTTGGAGGGTCGATGTGGACTTGATGGGCCGAATGGCCTGCTTCCACACTGTAGGGCTTCTATGATGCTATGAAGCTTTAAAGCGATTTGGTCAGGCTGAGTGAATGGGTAAGAACATGGCAGGTGAGATATAATGTGGATAAGTGTGAAGTTGTCGATTTTGGTTGGAGGAATGAAGGTGCAGAGCGTTTCTCAAATGGTTGAGAGATTGTGAAATGTTGCTATCCAAATGGATCTAGGTTTTATTATTATTTCCTTGGTAGTGGGGTTGGATTGCAGGTGGCAGAGAATGATGCGTTGAATCCGGAGGTTGATGGGGTGATACATGAGGATAAGGGGAATTCTGTCTTTGTTGTTATTGGGGGGAGGGGGTGTGAGGGCTGAGGTGCGGGAAATGCAAGAGATGCAATTTCCCCCTCACAGTGGTCAAATGCAATTTCCCCCTGACAGTGGTCGAAAACGCCCTTGACCGCATCTCTCGCATTTCCTGCACCTCAGTCCTCACACCTCCTCCCTGCAATAACAACAAAGACAGAAGTCCTCGTGAATCACCCCATCAACCTCCGGATTCAACGCATCATTCTCCGCCACTTCCGCCACCTGCAATCCAACCCCACTACCAAGGATATATTTCCCTCTCCACCCTTATCTGCCTTCCGCAGGGACCGCTCTTTCCGCAACTCCCTCGTCCATTCCACACTCCCCACTAGCCCCGGCACCTTTCCCTGCAACTGCAGGAGGTGCTACACCTGCCACTACACCTCCCCCATCACCTCCATCCCAGGCCCCAAGAAAACCTTCCACGTTAAACGAATATTCGCCTATACATCTGCTATATTGTATTTGCTGTTCCTGATGTGGCCTCCTCTACATTGGGGAGACCAAGTGGAGGCTTGGAGACTGCTTTGCTTTGTGGAGCACCTACGCTCGGTTCGTGACAAACAACAACACCTCCCAGTCGCGAACCACTTCAGCTCCCCCTCCCACTCCATGGACGATATGTCCATCCTGGGCCTCCTCCAGTGCCATAACGATGGCACCTGAAAACTGAAGGAACGGCACCTCATATTCCACCTGGGAAACCTACAACCCAATGGTCTCAATGTGGACTTTACAAGCTTCAAAATCTCCCCATCCCCAACCTCATCCCAAGACCAGCCTCCCCCCTTTTGACCCCACCTCCTTGACCTGTCCATCTTTTCTCCCTCGTTTCCACTCCTCCCACCTCACTGACCAACCCTCACCCCCACTTCCTACCTACACTCACCTCACCTCTACTAGCCTCATCCCCGCCTCCTTGACCTGCCCATCCTCCCTCGCAACTACCTGCCCCTCCCTTCTCACTGACCAACACGGCATCCCAACTCCCTACCTACACGCATCTTTACTGGCTTCATCCCTGCCTCCCTGACCTGCCTGTCGTCTCTCCACCTATCTGCTCCACTAACCACCTTCTATCATCGCCTCCTCCTTTCTCTATTTATTTCAGAGCTCCCTTCCCCTTCCCCATTTCCTGAAGAAGCCAGCTTTTCTGCTCCTCTGCTGCTTGGCCTGTTGTGTTCATCCAGCTCCACACCTTGTTATCTCAGTATTGTGTGGAGTTTTGTTTTCCTTACCTGAGGAAGGATGTACTTTTCTGAGAGGAAGTGCAGTGAAATCTCCTCAGATGACAGGACTGTCTACAATGAACGATTGATGAAACTGCCTGTTTTGTCTGGAATTTAGAAGAATGAGAGGTATTGTTATTGTAGTTGAATTTTAGAAAATTTATCGTGGGGAGAAAAGAGATATGTAGAAAGGATATTTCCCTTAGCTGGGAATGGGGTCTAGAACTAGTAAGTACAGTCTCGGAATAAGGGGCAACTCTTTTGGGAGTAAGATAAGGAGACATTTCTTCACTTGGAACATGTTAGCTATTTGAAATGCTGTAACCCTGGAGGTTGTGGAAGCTTGGTCACCAAGTAGGTACAAGACTGAGATCAGTAGATTTGTAGATTCTAATAGCATCAAGATATTTGATAGTGCAGAAAAATTACTCTAACCTAGATAATCAGCCATGATCCGGTTGAAGGGCAGAGCAGTCTAGAGCGGGGCCAACTTCTGTTTCTGTTCTAAGCAGGTAATGCATCTGGCCAACTGAAATTTAGTCTTGACCCTAAGTTAGATTTGCATACATGTTGCATATCCACTATTTTGTTAATAGTTCATTATTTCGACGTTTTGATTAAGAAGTCTGCAATTAACTGCCTTGCAGTACAATCAGTTTTTCCAGTTGTTATAATAGCTCTGTATCTATGAGCTAACATTTGGATTTTGAGTTATCCTTGATTTTTTGCAGTCCAGTGCATTTTGTCAAAAAATTGTAGATAAAAAATTGCTTTTTATCAGCTCTGAACTAAACTGCGTTGGTGTGCAACCAATTGATAGTGAATTAGATTTAACCAGAACCAATCATAAAATATCTTTGTCGTATTTTTGCATTCTTGTTCTAGATTCATTCTATTGCTACTCTTTGGTCCATTTATATTTACCTACAACATGTACTAGTAACTTAGTAAATTGGCACAATGAGAACTTCTTTATAGTCATTGCCATTTTCACAGACACAACTCACGCAGGTTTTTCTAATAAAACATGGTTGGTAGATTTGGACAGGCAGGAACAAATGACAATGCATGATTCTCATATCTTTAACATCTCAATTGGTTGTGTTTCCTCCTGATCAAACGTCAGTTAATAATTTTGTGTGATTGTTATTCAAGTCAGCACAAAATATCCCAGCCCTGTTTAATGTTTTATTCATTCACTTTTACCAAAAATGTTCTACCAAATTGCGTCATAGCAAAACAAATTCATTCACAGCCACCATTGCGTTTCTTCTTGCTACCTACTTGATATATTCTTAATTGTAATACTAATGTAACATACATGAAAAATTACAAAGTCAACATCACTGCTGATTTTTTTTTTTTAAAAAAACACACCCCTTTTACAGAATATTTTGAGTCTCTGAACACTCTGGAATCTGGGTACATCTTCTTGCCTCCCACCTTCTGATTGTTAACAGTTCTTATTCAGCCTTGTACCTCCCATGTTTGGAGACTAAGTCTAAATATAAACAAAAGTAAGCAATGAACAGCAAGGTAACAGAATAGAAAATAGTTGTAAAATATCTGACATAGTGAAATTGAAGTTATGAGAATTTAAAATAATCTGATCCCTTCGATCTGAAATTCTGGTCAAGGTAAATATAACTTGGTTCGCTTAATTATCGTTCTTTGCTCAGTGGTAGCACTCTCATCTCTTGAGTCAGAAGGTAGAGGTCAAGTCTCGATTTAGAGATTTGACCACATAATCTAGTCTGACTGATGTGATCTGAGTGCAGTGTTAAACGAAACTGACACTCTCAGCTTCCACGGCATTATACGAAGAGGAGCTTTAGTCCATGCTGTGTCCTCAGTCAACTCACAACTAGATGATCTCATTATTATCTTTCTGCGGTTAGTAGCATGCTGTGCACACATGGGATGTATTTCTGATATTGCAACAGTGAGTTAGAATTGAGAAGTACTTCACTGAGTTTAAAGCATTTCGAACATATTGAAATCATGAAAAATGAAGATCCATCCAAGTTGTTTCATAAATTGTATGATGCTGCAATTAGTTATCTAATAATTCAAACATTTCAAGAAAATTTCCCATTGTTATCTACATAGTTTGTAAATATGGGGTAATTTAAAATTATATTTGTGCAAAAAGCGCGATTTCAGCAATTGTCTGTTTCAATATGAATAGAAGCCTGATTCAAGCAAAAGCAAAAGAGACCTCCATGTGATGTGTCATTTGATGATTTTATAGATATGGTGTAATAATCATGATATAATTTGTATAACAAAAACGTTTGTTGAATAACTTTTTGAAAAATTTGTTTTTCATCAAAGGGATGTTTAATTCTGTTCTGAAAGAGTTGATTGCGGAATTGACTCTGGCTGATAATCAAATGTTTGCTGCTACCTTCTTGCTTCCATCCCTTTGTCATCAGGATGATGCTCTGCTACTTGGAGCCTGGTTGCAAGAAACTGATCATCGATTTATCGAGGAGCAGGTATATTATGTGAAAGTAACATTTGATGGACAATACTTTGAAAATTATCTCACTGCCATGTTTGAGAATCTTGTAATAATTTTACCACGGGAGAGTTGCTTTAAAAGTTGAAGTTTACCTGGACCATATTCCTGTTGGTTTAATTTTATAAATGCAAAGGGGTCAAAGGTGATGGGTAGTTAAGAAAGTCTCTATGACTCTATGACCTCACAGCCAAACTATTATAAATAATAAGATACCCTATTTAGGCTTGAACAGCATTTGAAACAAAGACCTTTTGGACTAATTAGTATATGCCAGTGTTGACGTACGATTTCTCCTAACCTACCTTATCATCATATACTATTTTTCCCCATTGTGTAGCTTTCAGTTAAGTGGAAAGATGCTATTTGCATCAATTACTCATTTCGTGATAGAATATTCTACTTTTCAAGCACTTTCTTGGTAAAGATGTTACTTTTGTATCCCCTATTAGAATATGAGCAACTGTCAGGTTTTTGCCCATTCACTCAACCTATTCATATCCATCTGTAACTACTTTTTGTTCTTTAGGAGATACTTTCCTGTCTATATTATCTGCAAATGTTGCTACATACCTTCATTCCCTTTATCTAAGTCATTGATGTAAGCTGTAAAGTTGAGACTCCAGCACAGATCCTATCAATCAAATAAAGATGCATTTATGCAAACTTTTGGCAGCCCGCAGTTCAGTTTTCTGATTACCACTTCTTTCTTGATTGTAATTTCAGTAAGATCCTCCCTCCATTCCATCTTCTGACCTACAGTTGTTTTTGGAATGTGTTTTGGATTCTCAAGAGTGAAGACAGAAGCAAAATATTTGTTCATTTCAACTGCCATTTCCATATTATCAACTATTAACTCCCCATTCTCAGTCTGTAGAGGACCAACACTCATTTCCATAACTACTTGGAAAGCATCATACTTATGGAAAGAATATATAACTGCACAAAGTTGAAGTAGGTTAGATGATTGGTAAGAATATAAACAACAGCAGAGAATGTCTCAGATGATGGGTATTTCCTTTAGAAGTTTTCTTTTTAGTGGGGATGTACTAATTTTGAGTATTCTGAAATGTCCCCTTAAACGTCTGTACTGTGTCGTTTTTGATTGAACTCCTAGTCTAGAATTCCAGTTCACTTTAGCTAGATTACCTTTTATGCTCAAATGGTTCCCTTATTTTGATTTAAAAGACACCTAATTTTCCCTGTTTTGAATTGGATGTAAAATTCAATTATATTGTGGTCGCTACTACTGAGAGGTTCCTTTAAGTTGAGGTGATTAATTAATCCTGTCATATTACATAATACCAAGCTCAATATAATCTGCTCTCTGGTTAGTTCCAAAACATTCTGCTGTAAGAAACTATTTCAAATCATTCTATGAACTCCTCATCCAGGCTACTCCTGCCAATCCAACTTTTCCAGTTTATGTGAATTAAGGTCACTCATGGTTATTAATGCCCCTTTATCACCAGCACCAAATATTTCTTCTTGGATAATCATCCTACATTGTAGTTGCTATTAAGGATTCTGTAAACCGCTCCAACTAGTGAGTTCTTTGCTCTACTATTGCTTATCTCAGCACAAACTAATTACATGTTCTGATCTTCTGACCAAAGTCACCTCGAAATATTGCACAGATGCCATCCTTGATTGATCAGTAATTCCTCTCCACCTTTACATAGCTTCCTATTTTTCTTGAATGTTATATATTCCTCAGTTTTCAGGACTCAATCCTTGTCATTCTGAACATATGTTTCTGTAATGGCTGTCAGATTTTCTCCCAAGTGTGCTATCAATTCTTTCATTATAATATTAAAGCTCTGTTTTCAGATGTAGAGTCTTTAGATCAGTCCTTTTGTTAATTGTAACATCTAGTTTTGATTGTTGGTTTACTGCCATGATGCTTTTTCCATCTCTTCCTGCAATTTCTGAATCTCATTTCCCATGTTACTATTTTCCTCTTAGGTATACTATACCTTGCAACAATTGCTCCATTGACCACCTCCTCCTGTTTAGGTTAAAACCTTCTCTTCTGTCGTAGTCTTGAAGTTTGCAAGAATAATGGCCCCAGCACAGTTTAAGTGTGGATCTTCTCAATGTTACAGCTCCAAACCGCGCCCCCAGTACTGGTACCATTTCTCCATGAGTCAGAATATACTTCTCCCAAACCAGTCTTTGTACTATCTCTTCATCTCTCTCATTTTATACCAATATTCACACAGCTGAAGTAATAATCAGAGAATATAATTTTGAGGTTGTGCTTTTCAATTTATTGCCTAGCTCCTCATATGCTGCATGCAGAACCTCTTTCCAAATCTACTATTACTGCATTCTTTGTTGCTCCCCCACTCTAATGGCTTGCTGTACTATCTTGTCACGGTCAGTTTATACATCTGCCCTGCAGCCCTTGTACTAATCCAAACAGGCCGAGAGGACCATGCACCTTTTGGGCAATTGCAAAACTCCAGACCCTCCTGCACTCTAGATCCCTTTATTTGATTCACTGTCCCTGACCAGTGACCAAATTGGAAGACCCTAAGTGAAGAGATTGCCTTCTTGTACAAATCTTCCAGGTAACATTCATCCTCCCTATGCATTGTCGTGTCTTTAGTCAGTCTCCAACTCGTAAAGTCTGAGCTGCTCAAACTTCATACGTTTATTGTAACATGTTTGCGATGGATCATGTTGGTATGGAACAGCTTCCATATGGCTTTGACACATCACTTGAAATGCTGTCTGTTTTAAATATTTAGTTATATTTTTCACCTCCTAATGTTGCCTTTTATGTATGTTATTAACTTTGATACCAATTTGCGGATTATGTTTAAATTCAAGAATAGAAAAGACCTTAACAACCTAGCAGAGACTCACCAAACAGCTAGCTCTTTTCTCTTGTGTGGCATAACTACCAATTCCAATTAGCTCTCATGAATTTAGCTCTGTCTCTGACTGCCTGTCCTGTGGTCCTCACCTTTCCATTCCTCTGACTTCATCATTTTTAAGATAAAAGCTCAAGTCTCTTCAGTCTTTTGCAACAAGATGTCATCGAACCTGAGCCAGATTTGCTCCAGCCTAACATTCCAGAAATATTTATCTCATAACAATTATTATAATTACACTGCATCAGTGCTTATTGTGGTGAATGTCAGATAGCTGAGGAAACTATTGTTGAATCTGGGATTCAACAAAATTAACACTATCAAGATGATAGTGGATAATTTATGGATGATAGTATAAGGTAGCGGTGGAGGTTAGATAGACCTTACGTTTCGGGTAAAAGTTCGGCACAATGTCGTGGGCCGAATGGCCTGTACTGTTCTATGTTCTATGTTCTAAGATAACAGTATTAGAGAAATTAAAGGCACTGAAGAGTGACAAATCTCTTGGGTCAGAAGATTCTGGTCTTTGGTTTAAAGGAAGTTTGTACAAATGCCCTAAATATAATTTTACAAAGTCCTCCTGATTCAGGAACTATTCCTTTAGATTGCAAGGTTTTTGGGGTGTTGGTATCGTCATCTACTTTGGACCTAACTGTAAAGTCCGAAGAGACTTGAGGCAGAGGATGGGGGTTGGGAAGTGGTGGTTTGGTTGGGGAGGGCATTAATGTTGAGAGTGGGGCAGCATAAGGGAATGCAAGTACAAAAATGATTAATATGTTGTGAACAGGTATGGAAAACAATTAAAAAGACAAATGAAATGCTGGCTTTTAGATCTAGAGGACTAGAATACAGGGCAGAAGTCATGCTTCAACTATGTTAAGGCTTGGTTAGACGACATATGGAGTACTGAGAGCAGTGCTGGGCAGTACATCCTAGGAAAGCTGCATCAGCCTTCACAATCTCTACCTCTTTTCTTTTTGATTGATGCCTAAACTCCTGTCCAATTCAAATAAATAACATTTCTCCTGAAATTGGACCATGACATGCACCCCACCTTGATCCTGGTTGAGAATTAAATCCTAGTTAGTAAGACTGATACAGAAAGTCTTGGATGAAACTTGTTCTTTTTCTGCTTGGTATCAAATAAGAATCTGATTTTTTTTTTTAACAAGACATCCTTCAGTTAAATTTTCATATATTTAGTTGCACACAATGTTTGTTTTGTAGATGTTTAAGCTTGTCCGTTTTCCTTGAACAGTTAAAATTAGGTGGTATCTTGGGAGGTGGAAGCCTTGAACATGATCCCTTTGCCATCTATCAGAGATTAGCGGATGGGGAACTTGTACCTACACCTCTTCCTCCAGTACTATCAATGATCCGAGCAGCAGTTGAGCTTTTCGGAGTGATATTTCCTGGTTTGGATGTTAAGCATAGGTATTGTTTTTTAGAATTTATGACTTTGATCTTTTGTTAATATTTGTTAAGTTCAAGCATTATTCTTTGAACGTGTACAGTAAGAAGTAAAATCATTTCAATTGCAAAATTATCCCTTCCTTTGGTAATCTGGTGTACTTTCCTGAATGGTGTTGTGCAAATGATTATTCTGACATCTTCTTTTCAGCTTTGTAACTGATTCTATATAGAAGATGCTGCATGCTGCAGATTGATTGTAGCTTTTATGCAATGTATGGATTTTCATATTCTTTGCAAATAGAGAACAGAATTGCAATGAATAGAAAATCAGGTTTTGAAACAATCTATTCTTTATATTTATGCACTGATATTTGAAAAAAATTCAAAACCTGTTAACCTGTGCTGATTTTACATAGGTTTACAACAAAATCTTAATTTCATCTATTGTGAAGTTTTCAGTCTCTAATAATTTTCAACATTTTTTTCAAAAGTATTTCAGAAGGATTAGTTTTTAAATAGAAACATGTATCTGCTTGCACCAGTCAGGAATATTACTATTTTGCTCAAACACAATCTCAAATTTTTCAACAGTGTATGTTGGGATTACTGTTTGGATTTTGGTTTCAATATAACTGTTCAATATAATTATCAAACTCCATAGGCAACGGTTGGAATAAAACACACATCATATCATTTTTCCCTAGAGCACAGGTTTTGGATCAATTTACAGAATCCATAAAGCAAACTAAAGGATCAAAGCAGCAAACTGTACAGCTAAATGTTTTTGCTGCATTCTGCTATGGATTGAAGGTAAGCATGTTGTTTTTATAATACTCCCAAAGGATAAAAGGAACTTGAGACTTCTCACTAACTTGAAATGACAGAAGTTGGATTTGATTTGAGCTCATACTAATGGACTGATTATTTCATTTTGGAACTATGTAGAGCCTTGTACTAAATTTAGTTGACAGTCTTAATGTATCACAGACATGAACAACCAACATCAAAATGTTTGATGTTTGCTGAAAATTGACTGCAATTATGTTATTCAAAAATTATTATAAAGATGAATTTTGTGGCATTTTGAAGATTTTTCATTAACCTACAAAGTCAAAATTAAGAGTTAAACCTCTGGTACTGTATGCTTTAACTGCTGTCTCCACCGTATTGCTTTAATGAATTATGTACATAGACACCCAGATCTCTCTACCTGTATACCTTTAGAGTAGTATCCTTTACTTTTTATTGTTTCTCTCAATGTCTGTTCTACCACATTGTATCACCTCATCCTTCGGGTTCCGTGCACTACTTCATCAATGTCTGCACCACTCCCAAGGGGTTGGGGAGGCTGGGATCCCAGCTGGAGCAGATCAAAGTCTGGTGCTGAGGTGAAGGTAGTTTAGGAGTGGGAGGCTCACTCCACCTACCTCAGAGATGCGGGAGGAGCCAGATAGGACCCTATTATTCACAGTTCCATAAGCACCATTTCCTTCCGTCACTTCAAAGATGTAAGGTTGTGACGTTGTGCCTGCCTGTGCTTTGTGCTACGTGTAACGGTGACCTTCAGAATAAATGCGACCTGAAAAATGGGAGCCAGTTTCAGTTTCAATTTTTGTGCTGTGTGTGTGGTTATGGGTAATGTCAATTTGTTTACATACATCAAATGAGGCATTTTAAAAATAAAACCGAGTTGAATAGTGTGGTGCTTTAGAAAATAAAGCATAGAAGTGAAGAAAGAAATTGGGCTGTTTCCTACATGGTGACCTGTGATACAGGGAGGGTAGAGACAGAGAAATGTTGCTTTGGAAAGACAAAATCATTCAGAAGGTTAGGGCATGAAATAAGTATTTTCAAGCAAAAGAAACAGGTCGTTCAGAGCAAAAAAGTCTTGTAATATCAGCAGAGCAGCTCAACAGTCTCCAGAGCAGTCAAGGCAGAAGAAAAGAAGTCTTGGCTGGCATTGAAGTAAGCAAGACTTCAAAGCGTCCGGTTGCATGGCTGTTGAATGCATGAGTTTAAGGAACACTTTTAAGGAAATGTGAATTGTGTTCGCACTTTATATTTCATGAGGAGACATTAACTAAAGAAGATAGCATCAAGTGAATAGAGAAGTTTGCTGAAAAGAAACCAATTACTCACTGAACAAGGAATTTGGAACAAAGATAATGAGTCACCTTCCATTGAGAATTGAGAATCTGTAATATTGAGGGTAAAAGGGTAAAATCTTTATTTCTAACATTTGTAAGAATACCGTTCCAAAGTTCTTGTTAATATAAAGTTTTAAAATCCCTTTTCTATACAATAAACTTCTTTTCAATGCACATTAGCAGTCTTTTTGAAGATATTCAGTGACTGACTACCACAGTAAACAAATTTCAAAAATAAAACGTAACAGTCTATTCAGCCAAGTTTCACTCTGTAATCAGACTTGGCCAGTGTTAACGTCAATTGGCATCATAACATCCTCAACTACCTTCTCTGTTACCTCTTTAAAGAACTCCAGTTAAACAAAATTGACTCTAATGAAATCCATTCTATCCCAAATTCACACACATTTGTATGTGACTATTAATTCAATCCCAAATTCTTGTTTCCAGAAGTTTCTCGCTGCCAAAGATAAACTTACTGGTCTGTAATTGCTGGGCTTATCTTTGCACCCGTTTTCAACAAGGGCAAAATGCTTGCAATCCCTCAGTCCTCTCGTACCACCTATGTCCAGAAACAACTGAGTGGTAATGGCCAGTAGAATCATAGAATTCCTACGGTGTGGAAGCAGGCCATTCGGCCCGTTAAGTCCACACTAACCCTCCAAAAAGCATCTCAGCCAGATCCATCCCCCTACCCTATCCTTGTAACCCTATATTTCCCATGGCTAATCCATCTAGCCTACACATCCCTGGACCCTACGGGCAATTTAGTATGGCCAATCCACCTAACCTGCACATCTATGGACTGTGGGAGGAAATGCACGCAAGCATGAAGAGAATGTGCAAATTCCATGCACGCAGTCACCCGATGATGGAATCAAACCCAGGTCCCTGGTGCTGTGAGGCAACAGAGCTAACCCTCACTGAGCTTCTGTGCCATCTCACTTTTCACTTTCAATTCCTTCGATGTCCTTTTGTCAAAAGTCACACGACACCAGGTTATAGTCCACCAGGTTTATTTGAAATCACATTTGGAGTGCTGCTCCTTTGCCAGGTGAAGGTGACTTTACCTGTTGACTATAATCTAGTGCCTTGTGACTTCTCACTTTGTCCACCGAGTCCAACACTGGCACCTCCACATAATGAATATCTTTAGTGACATTTCGTCTGGTCCTGGGGTCTTTTCAACACTTTTTTAAGTTCCAAAAATTATCCAGTACTACCTCTTCATCACTTTTGAACTCTTCCGGTGACTGAGATTCCTCCTCCTGTCACCACAGCCTGGGTAATATCTGTCTGCAAAATGTTCATTGAACATCTCGGCCATTCCCCCCACCTTCATGTTTAAATCTTGGTTTTGATTCCTTATCAGGCCTACTTGTATTTTTATAATCATTTTGAGGAATCCCAACCTTCTTTTCATAATCCCTTTTGGCTTCTCCACTTTTTCACCTCCCTTCTGAACATTTTGTATTCAGGTTAGTTCTCTATTTTATTTTCCACCTGACACCTTTCATAAGCATACTTTTTCTTTGTCTTGATTTCTGTCTCATTTTCCACAAAGGTACCTCTGAATTTGTTTGCCTACCTTTTTTGTTTTGAGGGAATATACCTTTACTGTTTCTGAACCATCTCTTTTTTGAAGATAGCTTATTGTTCAGCTACAATTTTTCACACCTGTGTTCCAGTCTCTCTAGCCCAGCTCCGTTCTTGCCCCATTGAAATTGGCTTTCCCCAATGAGTTATTTTGACTCTGGATTGTCTTTTTCTGCCATCACCCTAAATTTTCTGATAGCCATCATCCTTTACTCTAAACATTGCTGCACTGACACTTGATCTCCTTGGACCACCTTGTTCCCAAGAACCAGATCTAGAAGGCACTCTGTTCTACTGGACACACATACTGCCATAGAATATTCTCTTGAACACAGTGTTTAGCACATGGAGCTGTTCAAAAAAGAGCAGGAGAGCTCTCCTCAGTATCTCACAAAATACTATTCCCTCAACTCACAGCAGATGCATACCGTCTGGTCATTCTCCAATTGCTGTTTGGATGCTGCAATGTACAAACTGGATGCTGCGTTTTTGACATTACAAATATCACTGCAATTCAAAAGTTTTCATTGGCTGTAAAGCACAGTAGGCTATCCTGAAATCCTAGGAGGTCCTATATAAAACCAATATCTTTATTTGTCTTTCACAGTTCTCTTTG